GAGTCTCTGCTGTCCCAACCCCCGCCTGGGTCCTGGGGAAGGAATCAGAACTCAGAAGCAGGAGAAGAGGCTTTGGCCAGCAGGGAAGGGGGGGTGAGGCCCAGGGTGGGTTCACAAAGGATCAGAGCATCTGAGTGCGTTAGGAGGAAGGGGCTTCAGAGGTGGGCCAGCACAGGCCATGACGGGGGCTAAACAGGCTGCAAGGCGGGGAAGTTCGGGGAGACAGCAGGGGTCTGCGCCCTGCCCCTCATTGTTTGCTTGTCTCACCCTTAAGAGCAGGTCATTTCCCCTGCTCTGATGATTCGAAGTCTCTGCCGGTACCCACAGGATGGTGACTGAGGCCTTCACACTCCTCAGCATGGATCCCCACTCCCACCCAGATCTGGGGCCACAGACACCTCTCCCCCAACCCTGCCTCCCCTGTGAGCAAGCTGTTCTTGTGAAACGCGGTCATAGTTTGTTAGCACAAACTGTTTTATATGGGAATACAAATCAGTGTTGATACCAATACACACACATGTCCAGCCATGGGTGGAAAGGGAAGGGACAGAAGTTCTGGGGTGTCTTTGCACACCCATAGGCCCCTAAGGCCAGTCCTCGCAGCCACAGCCACATGGGTCCTCCTCCCTCAGTTGAATGAGATGCTGCTGCACAGAAATCCCACAAGTTCCACAAAGGGACCCAACTGTCATTACCCTTATACACACCTTTCACAGGTGCCCCATGAATTTCCCTGCACCCATTCCCCTTGTTGCATCCTCATTGGGATTAAGTGGTAGCTGCCTCCACCACTCTCCACATTGCAATAATCCCAGTGGGACTAGAGGATGCTCCCGCTACGACGAGGCAGACAGTCCTGTCCCCATGGCCAAGACTTTTCCTCTCTGGTCAGGCCACCCACACAGGAAACCCTGGATGAGCGGAGGGTCATCCCAGCGCCGTCGCCTGGCCACTTCAGAAAAGCAGAGAGAAGCTCCATAATGACAAGGGCTGTCTCCAGGCTCCATCCTAGAAACCGGGGAGTGTCCAGACGACTGAAAGGCACAAAAGCAGCTCTGCCTCCCCAGAAGGTTCAGGGATGCAGAAGATGGTACAGATGCCCCAGAAGGCCCCTAGGCAAGCAGGCTTTAGAGAAGGGGATGATGAGGGGGTCCCTGGGGAAGGTGAGAGCTGTGCGTTCCCAGGGGCAGCCTGAGGAGTCCTTGTCTATGTGGAGGAAAGGTTTGGCCACCTGTAGATCCAGAGCTCCTGTGACCTCCCTCATCCTTCCTTCCTCTCAGGATCGCTCTCTGTGGAGCAGCTCAACACGAACAAGATGACAGTGGCCTGAGAGCATTTTCCACCAAGACTATCTTTATTCACAGTTTATATACATCACTCCAAAGGTCCTGCTGCCACCCACACCTGGCCACACCCACCTCCCCCACCTCCCTAACCCCCCACAATCCCGCTCCCCCTCCCCGCCTTGGTGGTCCTGCCCTCCCTCCCTTCCCCCCACATCATCCAGGGTCAGCACTGGGATGACGAGGAGCCCCTAGGCTGCCATGGGGGCCACCCTGGGGCCTCATCCTGGAGGGCCGGCCCCGCTGTTCTGTACCGGCTGCAGTGCTTCTTCTTCCTCTTCCTTCTCCTCTCTGTGTCAGACGGGTCCCGCTTTCTCTTTCTCGGCCGTGAGAGGTGAGCCGGCCACAGAGCCAAGGCTGGCTTCCCAGACACCCGGAGGCCAGCCCCGGGGATGGGCAGCTTCTCAGCAGAGGCTGGGCGTCCACACAGATCCTGCTTCCTCGACTTGGGAGCGGCTGGTGGAGCTGGGCTGAGGCCTCTTCTCTGAGGGGAGGGGCCCTGGGGAGCACTCCGGGCCACCCAACCTCCAGGGGAGGCCAGGCCTGAGGCATGGGCATGACTCTGGGACAGACTGAAAGGCCGCATTCTGTGATGAGTGCCTACGACGATGACCTCGCCGGGGAGCTTCACCTCGTTCTCACCGGACCCGTCGCTGGGCCCTTGGGCCTCCCAAACAGGAGAGGCCTCTCTGAGAACAGACACATCCCTGGGTCCCCATAGAGGGTCAGCGTGCCTTTGACCCTGGGGAGGGGAGGGCCGTCCGGCCCGGAATGGAGAGACCTCCTGACATCCTCGAGAGGGAACAGAGACTTTGGGCGTGCACAGGCCAGTGTCTGTTTGGATGAGCCTATGAGGAGCCTCAGAATCAATCTCTGGTGGGCAGGCTTCATCACTGACCCCTAGATGGGGGTCTTGGTCGTGCCTCTGGGCACCCTGGCCGACATCGTACTCAGAAGGACTTGAGCGTATTCCGGGTGCACTGTGACTCAGGGCTGCCCACACACTCTCATCCTCTTTCAAGGCCAGGAGTCGTTTCTGCACCAGCTGGTAGGAGGGAGGAGGACAGTGTTGGCTCCACACACACGTGTGAGAGGACGAGTCCTGGGCAGTGGGACAATGGCCCTGGGGGGGAGGAGGCGACGGGTGACCACAGGACTTGAATCCAAATACAGACACTGTGGCACTCCTGTCATCCTCCTGCACCTTATTCCCAGCTTTGTGCCCTTCCCTCCCCTCCCGGCTCCCCATCCTCTCCTTCCTTTCACCCTGCACGGCACCCACCCCAGAACGGGCCCTGCCCCATGCCAGTCCTCCCAGGCAGGTGAGGGATGGACAGCGCCATTTGCCCCTCCTGTTCTGGGGCCCTACCTCTCCCCTGTTCACTGGGGTCCCTCAATGCCCTGGTCTTCCTGGGTGTTCCTTGTCTTCCCTGTTCTACCGGGGATGCCTCCCTCCTCTGGCTCCCCTGGGTCATCTGGGTTCCCCTGTCCCCTGGATCACCTGGGGTCCCCCTCCCGTGGGGTCCCCTGGCTCCCTGAGTGTCCCTCTCCCTCCCCTGGCTCACTTCTTCGGAGGTGAGCCCTTCGTCCTGCTCCAGCTCCTCCGCTAGGGCCAAGAGATCCAGCTCTGGGTCTGGGGAAAGCAATTCTTCTACGAATCGAGGGTGAATGACTGCCTCCACCTCGGACAGAAAGAAGAGGCTGTGAGCATCCTTGGCCAGGAGTGGCCTGTGAGACAAGAAGACCCGGAGGGAAAGTGAAAAGCAGAGACCCACCCCACTGTCCTCCACAAGGCAGGGATGGTCAGCACACACACGCGCGCGCACACACACGTGTAAACGTGCACATACACAGTCACACACAAAAGAGCACATATAAAGAGGCACATACACAGACACACAAAGGCATACACACAGACAGACACAAACATGTACACACATACATTTGCATACACCTCCCCTAACACCAGGCTCAGGAACAAGGGACTGAGCTTAAGTCCCAACGGCCTGAGAAGAATCCAGATCTTGGGTGCTGAGTGTTCCATGCCCTGGCATCTTGTAGACCCCAACGCTCCAGGCATAGCCTACCTTGGTGACAAAGTCCTCCTGGGAACACAGCTTGTCAATGTATCTCAAGAGGATCGGGTTCAAGTAGATACCGTGCTCTTCCTTCTTCAGCTCATTTCCGTCCACTCCACCTTCTGCAACTGACTCGCCTGTGGCTGAGTGGACGGGCCCCACCAGCGCCTCCATGATGTCCATATACTCGCTCACAGCCTCAGGGGGAACCTCCTTGGGTGCCTTGGGCTCCAGGGGCCGCTGGGACTTTGGGCGGGAGGGCTGGTCCCTGGGGCCGGACAGCCTGGGAGCACAGACTGAGGCAGAGCAGGAGGAAGGGAAGGAAGGTGAGGGACTGCCGGTCCACCTCCTGACCACCGAGCGCACGTTGGTGAGAGCATTGTTGGGGGGACATTGATGTGGGTGTGGGTGGGGTCAGAACCACCTGAAGCCTCATGCACAGTTGGAAGGTGGAGGTAAGGGGGGCATCTAAGAGAGTCACATGTAAGGAAGTGGGGAACCTCCAATTTTCTAGGGGTCTCCCCATCAAGCTCACTTCTTAGGCAGACTTTGTGTGGGGTCCTTTGACAGGCAGGTGTGGGAGGAGTTACAAAACTGACCAAGCCAATACCCCGCAGTGACAAAGGGCATCTGAGAAAGACAAATGCCCCTGTGTTGAAGGAAAAGGAACCACATGGGGACAGTGGCCAACCCTAGGCCCCTGTTAACCTGTGCCTTCAACTTCAGTGGGAACCTGGGTGCCTGGCTGAAGGCCCACTTTCGGGGCTGGGGGACCCCGAGGATCCAGCTTCGGTGGGGCTGGAGGAGGCAGGTCCTGCGTGCACTGCATCCACTGCAACTTCTGAATCTGCATCTCCTCCTCGGCCTCAAATTCCATGAACCTGGGGGGTGACGGAGGCACAGGCCACCCTGAGAAAAAGGCCTGGGCTCTGGAACCCAACAAAGGCAGCCAAGAATGAGGGATTGGGAGAGGATGTGCCTTGGGACTGTCAAGGCCCTGTGAGGTGCTGTCCACAGCAGAGAGCTGCTCCTGGAACTGATACAAGATCTGGGACCCTTCCTGCCTCACCAGCACTGGAGGGCATTCAACAGCATAGACCCAGCTCACTGAATTGAACCAGGTCAATGGAACACATGGCTGACCCAGGGGGCCCCCTCCTCATGCCCCCCGTCCCCATCCAGAGCCACATGAAGGACTGACAGCCAGTGTCTGGAACAGGCATGTGTTCCCCACAGGGGTCCTTGCTCGAATCCAGGACCCTGGGCTGGGACTGAGAGTCCTGGAACATAGACCTGGAGACAGGGCCCAGGAGGGGCTGGACAATGTGGATGCTGAGCTTAGAGGAGAGGCCTTCCTTTCCTCTGAGAGGCGCTCGTTTGTTTGGGTTTCTTTCTTAAACCAAGGGGATTACCATGGAGCAAACAATGGAAGGGCCAGAGACCCTTGGGCTGACGACAGCTGCCTTCCCCAGCCTCTTCAGGGATGCCAGGGTACCCACTCAGGCCACTTTTCATGAGGAGAGGGGGTCCCAAATCTATGTCAGTGGCCGCCAGCCACCCACCACTAAGGAAGCAGCAGGCTGGCGGGTGGAGCTCTTTCCCCGGCTCACCCCATATGGCTGGAGTTGGACCCCTACTGGACTCACAGCTTCACCCTGCCCCATCCTGAGACCTTCATGTCAAGGTAAGGATAGGTCAAAATCAGGGGAGGGCAGAGCTCCTGGTGGAGGAAGGACAGAAGACCCAAACTCTCAAGGTGAGGGAGGGGTTTCTGGGGGACAGTAGGGCGGGCCTCTGGGCTGCGGGGCCCCTGTTCTGGGTGACAGCCCTTCTCCTTTGTCCTCTCTGATGAGCATCCCCATGGCCAGACCCTGCCCTCACCCACTCGCCTCACCCTCCACGCAGCCCCTGGGCCCAGGACTCTTACTCACTTTTCTGCTATCTCGTAGTAGATCATCCGGTCAAAGTTGCTAATGCGCTGCCATTCCTGCACGGCCCTACACAGTCTCCACTCCAGCGTCATGGTGGGCTTCAGGCGGGCCAGAGATCGAAGCCCTGGGCTGTAAGACCTTGGGATCAGTCTCCGTGCCCAGCCCAGCCCCCACCTGCCTGACCCCACCCGCCAATGTGGACCACACATCACTCAATGCAGCATGACTGAGCAACAGGAGGGTGAGAGGCAGGTGTCTGGGAGGGCAAAGACAAGCCTTCCCGGCTGCTGCTGTCACCGCCTCACACTCACTCGAGGATGACCATCCACTCCCAGGCTACAGCTGGGACACTGTGCCTTGGGGAGCTCTTTTCCTCTTCAAGGCTGCCTTTTCATAATAAAAATCACTATCATCAATGAGGCATGGCATGTGCCAGGCAATCTGCTAACACTTCATAGATTAGCCCAAGGAGTCTTCTGCCCGGTCCTCTGAGTGAAGTGTGATTGTATCCTTTTTACAAAGGACCGGAGGTTTACGATGGAAACGCCTGCCAGGCTCACAACTCTAGTGGGAGTGAGTCCACGCCCTTAGGAGAGCTCTACCATCACCCTGTTCCTAGTGGAATTCTCCACAACAACGAAGTCGAGGCGTGCATTAAGTGCTCTCCTGAGCCCCCCGCCCCTCCCCCTCATCCGAAGTGACCTCCCCCAGCCATGTACACTCGAGTCCTGTATGAAACCAGACGGCATCACAGGAGAGTGCGGCATCCACTCCTTGGCTCCTCACCTTACACCACGACCCTCTCTGACTGCAAGTCTTCAGTCCGTATTACCATGAGAATCATGGAAGAGCATGTTGGCTAGACTCACAGGGTGGTGGGGCCAGTTGAGACAAGGCACATTTCAGTCATGATGCCATGGACTGGCAGGCTCACCCATATGACCGACAATGTGCCTTCTCATAGCATGGACATCGCCCTCAGACCTTGCTTCCAGTATCCCTAGAAACCTAACCTACGAGTCCATCCCCAGTTCCTCTTTATCTAAAAGCTCCGATAAGCTCACGACCCCCTGAGTGTTCACTCACATGAGAAAGCAAGAAAGAGCTTCTGCATCAGGGCTCTTGGGAAGGTGTCTCCGCGCCAGTGGCTTGAGGCGCTGCCAACGTCGGAAGTTACTGTACACGCTCTGGGGATTAGAGCAGTCACCCTGCGAGGCGTAGTGCTGGTTGGTGGCCAGGCTGCCCTTCCTGGAAGTGCCATGTGGCCATGGGCCAGAGTTCACTGGGCGAATGATAGGGACCAGCTGAGCAGCTGGTAGTGGAGATTGAGGAGGAAAGCCTGGGGTCCAGCCTCCCATGCCAGCCTGAGTAACTCCAACAGCTGGAGCAGTCACAGTGGTCTTCATCGCAGGCGTTGCTAAGAATACGGGCGCAGGACATGCAGCACTCCCGCTGAGGGCTCCTGGAGCGCTCCAGGTGAGGGGGCCCTGAGTTATGATAAAGGTCTGAGTCTGGGGGGCCTTCACTGGCCTCCCTTGTGACCTGACTTGGACAGTGAGGTTGCAGGCCCCAGGGGCACTGGGTCCACGGCCACCATTAGCCACCAAAGGCGTCGTGGGGAAAGCTGGCAGCACCGGGCTGCTGACAGGCGGGAATGCTGGGGTGATGGGAGGTGGCAGGTGCTGCCCCCACGGTGGCCGGTGCTGGGCGCCAGGAATGGGTGGAGGAAAGAGCACTGCCATGAAATCAGACAAGGAGGCACCAGGGTTCAGGATGACATCCGGTCCCAGCACTGGAGATGCTGTTGAGGCAAAGGGAAGGAGTGAATGGAGGAGGAGAAGGGGCAGTGGGACTGAGGCTTTCTGCCGCATCAGAGTGTAAACCTCCACAGGTGAGAGACACTTGGGCAAGGGAAACTGCAGCGTGCAAATGTCTTCAAGTGATTTTCATGCCCTGACCTCCAGTTGAGAATTACTCCACCGGTGACCCCGCGCCCATCCACCAAGGCCCCTGACCCCTGCCTGCCGACAAGAAATTGCCTCAGCAAGCACTCCCTTGGAGAGCCTCCCTGAGGCACCCCCTGGCAGCTAAGCCTCACGGGCTGTCTCCCAAGACCTGGAACTGTGTGGACCTCCGCTCTGTGAGAAATGCCCCTCAGCCGGTGTACTAGCAGGTAGGGACCTTCTGCAAGGTAGGTTCTAGGCACCCAAAGGCTCTTTGTGGACAGACACTGTGTAAAATATTAGGGCCCCACCTCCCCCTCAGTCCTCCTTTTCCTGACGTTCAGTATAAATCCCCTCTTTCTTTCCTAGCCTCACAAAACAAAACAAAATGCTGGAAAATATCTCTCTAATGGAATCCTGATACAAACCCGTAACACTGGCCCAGAATGCACCTACATCTCAGAACAACCCACAGCAGATACATAACGTGGGCCAGGTCCTGCCACCACCACCCCCCCCACCCAGTGCCCAGAGTCACTGTCATCACTCAGGAGTTCTGTTCCTAGCAGGTGGGGGGGGGGGCGGCCTGAGAAGTAGGCGCGTGCCCGTTAGATTCTGTCATTTCACAGCCAGTGATGGCTGCAGAAGATTAAACAAGGGCCAGGGAATTGTCATGTTATATTGGTCATGAGTGTACAGACTGCCCGCGGTCCTTCCCCTTCCAGCTCCCAATAATAGAAAGACAATCTGAGAAGCAGGCATAAGCCAGTTGCCATGGCGATCAAGTTCTCTGGAACCCATGCCTGTTCAGGAGAACAAGGTACACGCCACGGTGCACCTAATTAACCAGGAAAGGTGTCATAAGACGTTTAGTAATAACACAGATCGTCTTCCTGACCGTGGGCTACACTCCTTCCCCCTTTAAAAGAGGAAGCAGTCTTCATAGACATTCCACCCAAAACAACCCCACTCCACATCTGTTCCCTGTCCATGAAGGAGTGACATGAAATATGAACAAACTCTTCCTCTCAAGGCAGCCTGAGGGTCCACCATGAGATACTGGACAAGATGAAGGAGGTCTGAAGTACTGAGATTCCACAAAAGGAAGAACAATTCAGAGCAACTCAGGAACCTGAGCCCTCTCTTGGCTGAAGTTACACGGTTGCCCATCCCGTTTAATCCAAGGCAACAGTTACCTGAACTGAGAAGTGAGCTCTGGGCTGGGAGGAGTGGACGAGGTGTGGGCTGCGGCAGTTAGAGTAACCTCCTGCCTAGCTCTCGGAGAGGACCCCTCACTGCAGGTGTGGCCACACACAGCCCCATTGAACAGTTTTCTCACCGAGACCATCTCTCCCCATGGCCCCCTTAGATACAGTAGGCTCCTGTTCACACCAGGACATCACACACATCCTTACACACACATTTCAAAGTGGCTTGTCTCCCTTCTAGAAACAATCAAGCTGTCTGCTGCCATCCTTTCTCCATAGCCAGGGCAATTCCTCTTGATCCACCTCCAATGACCCCTCCTCCCCAGTGCAGTCTCAGGTTTCTTCAGGCTCCCCAGTCTCCCCGCGTAAAATGTCCTTGTGTGTCCAGTGCTCTCTTCTCCCTCTATTTCAATCCAACTATGTGCCCACAGTGAAGTGTCACGTGTGAACCCGAAGGATGTGAGGGATGGCAGGGTCTCTGAGGACACACCCCCAACCTGTAGGCTTACCTCCTTCTGAAGCCACCCTTCAGGCTTGGGCACGGACTACTGCTGCCTGGTAGCCTCAATGAGAAAAGCAAGACCAGGACCCAGAGAGTGACCTGCTTCAGCAGATGCTCAGGATCCAAGTAAAGGAGGGACAAGTTTGAATCTAAACAGTAGAATGTGGGCTGAAACATTCTGAAGTGGGGGAGGGGCAGAGCCCAGGGGGGTCTGGGTAGGGTGGGGTGGGGAGACATTCCATGAGGGCTCTGGCAGGTAGGCAAGAACTGTAAGTTCCTTCCACCTCCCACAGTGACAACACAATTGGCATGTGCCTCGTTAGGCAGTTTATAAACTGTTTCTTTGATTCTCAGCACAGAGTTTGGACATGACAGTCCCTTACTTTCACTTCTTTATCCATCAACCTAGTTTTGTGTCCCTCAACACACTCTGCTTCCTACCTGGCTCTTGACTTACTTCAACAGAGACTAGACTTTCTGAACAAAATACCCAAGTGTTAGTCTGATAAACACTTGGGGGGGCTGAAACATTCTGAAGTGGGGGAGGGGCAGAGCCCAGGGGGGTCTGGGTAGGGTGGGGTGGGGAGACATTCCATGAGGGCTCTGGCAGGTAGGCAAGAACTGTAAGTTCCTTCCACCTCCCACAGTGACAACACAATTGGCATGTGCCTCGTTAGGCAGTTTATAAACTGTTTCTTTGATTCTCAGCACAGAGTTTGGACATGACAGTCCCTTACTTTCACTTCTTTATCCATCAACCTAGTTTTGTGTCCCTCAACACACTCTGCTTCCTACCTGGCTCTTGACTTACTTCAACAGAGACTAGACTTTCTGAACAAAATACCCAAGTGTTAGTCTGATAAACACTTGGGGATTTATGTCCACATGAAAGTGAGTATTTGAAATTTGGATTGTCTTAGCAGATCCAGTGTCTTTGACTGGTGTATGTACATCACTCCTAAGGAAGTCGTCCTTGTGCTCCAACCAACATCCAGCAGGACCAGCCTTACTAATGATCCTTTGTGCTGGAAAGCCCCCGTCCATCAAAAAACTGTCATGCAGCCCCCATGTCCAAGACAAGAATTCACTAAATGTCTTTCTCATAGTATTCCATGGTTGTTAAAGATTTAGTTTTTTACCTTTTAAATGATTTTAGTATAACATTTTAAGCGAGTAACACCTTCTCATGGTTCAAATTTAAATTGTGCAAAATGGAATATGCAGTGGCGGATCCTCCTCCCACCTCTTTCCCCTGTCAACCCAATCCTCTTTCCCGGAGGAAACCGGTGTCACCCTTTTCATTCAAATCTTCCCAGAGATAAGTCATGCAACTAAAAACGAACGCAATCTATTTTCATTTTTAAAAATGCCTTTATTTTTTTTCTAATTGAAAATTCATATATGTTCCAATATATCTGAGGATATTTCCAATGATTGTCTTTGTACGAGTATTGTGGCTCCTCTGTTTCTGCACTAGATTCCTAGAGCAAGAATTTCTACAGTCTCTTAAATTTCAAAGTACCTGAAAGAATAGGGTGGCTCGATCTAGCAAAGAAAAGTAACAAATGCCTAACTGAATTTGGTTTTTGAATTTCACGTAAACAATGAATTCGTTTTTAGTACAACTGTGTCCCATGCAATATTTTGGACATAGTTTTACTGCAAATTCTTTCCCTGTTTATCTGAAATTTACGTTTAACTTGAAATCTGTATTTTATCTGGCAACACTACCAAAAAATTAGAACATACTAAGCTATTATTAGTTACTCATACTTATGAGAAAGAGAACTTGGAGTGAAGAGACTCAACTGTGCATCTTGGCTCCAACACAAAACACAATTGTAAACATACACAAAATCTGCAGACTCTTTGGATGAAATGGATTTGGAAGAGCCATCATATAGCACTGAACGTCTTGGCTTAGTAGGGGTAAGGACAGAAGTAAGGAACAAGAAGGCAGAAAATCTTCTTCTCTTTCCTTATGTTAAAGGGACTAAACATCCTAGAGCCCTGGTTTTTCTAGGTGTTAAAAATCCACTGCCCACGAGATGGATGTGCACCTTGACACAATGCCAAGAGCTTATCCACCAGTGTCCAATCCCCATTCATACAAACCCACTTCCATCTAAATCCTAGCCTGCAAGCCCTGCTTACAAGTTTGTTTATTTCCTGTCTGCATTACATACGCTTGCTCTTTAGAATCTAGGCTCATCATTGCATATGGTCCCATCTGCGTGGTAACCATGGTAGCATTCCTTTTAAAAAACTTGTTTGATTATTATTTTCATATTGAGAATCCATGTCAGTCAGTTTAGCACTATCAAAATGATATGAAAGAGTATTCATGTTTTGTGTTGTGAGAAGAGAGGACTGTTAGGAAACTTGTCAAGGGAGATGAAGGGTGAAAACCTCAGAGGATGGCAACCAAATCTCTCGGGAGACGAGATTCACTGACTGCTGTAGCAGCAGTAGAACTCCTACTGATTGTGGGGTGTTGCGGAAGGAAACAGGTTTAGAAGGGCTGTTACACAGTGTGAAAAAGACTCATGTTGATGCTTAAGAAGTTCCTTGCCCCTTGTCAGGAAAACTGACTCAGAAGAAGATGAGAAGATAAGGTGAGACTATTTCAAGCAACATCACAGTGAACTTGATATCTAAAGAAACTCCTGTTGGGGACTGAAAAAAATAAACAATTTGTGAATATCGCTCAGTACTGGAGCTTTTATAATGAAGGAAAACTTAAATGATTTTCAACCAATAACTTCATACTAGAGGGATGGTGAGGCAAAATATTGTACCCAGGCACTCGAGAAAGGCAGGCTTCCTTGTTGCTTCCTCCCTTTGTTCAGTCATTCGACCAATTATTTACAAGATTCGCATTCATAACTCTGATACAGTATTTGAAGGACTCTTCTCAAGGCCACTGATACAAAAATTGCACTGTGCAAAAATTAGCCAGTCCCAATTCTGCAATCACTTTGGTAATACTTCAAAATCCTACACACAGAGACAGAGATAATCAAATTAGCCCAAATGTAATTTGGGAAGACCAGTCACAGAAGGGAGTATCTAAAAGTCCTTTGGATCATGATCTCTGACTATTCCTGCACAGAGGCTGGGGGCAGGCATTGACTACTGAGAAAAAACA